AAAAACAAAAAATGGGAACTGTGGGAATATAGGTGACCTGCCAAAAATGACAGGCAGTCAAAGATGTGAAGGATGTAACCAGAACAGCCATAAAACATCAGAGATGTGTATAACAAACATTGGTATGCAGCATATCCTGCACGGGAGGACACAAGCTAATAAACAAAGACAATGTGAATTTCAGTGTTGGAACTGATCTAAGCTTAGCTAGTACAAAAACAAGGATAACAGCTGAATAGTTAAGCTCTAAAAATAGCTTGTGTGATTTTGTATAAATATGGCAAGATGCTCAGTAAAAGTTGATTCAGTCTGCACACACATTCTGTCTCATACTTCGCTGCAGAACGTGACCATCTCATGATTGCTACAACCAAGGCTGCCCTGGAGTGTCACATTTCCAATGGGTGATTCTCTGTTGGTGAGCACAAGGTCAAGCATGGGACCTCTCCTTGTCGGCTCCTCTATTGCAGAAGGAAGTTGTCTTCCACACAATCGAGGAACCTCCTGGATTGCTTGTGCTGGGCCGTACCATTCCTCCAACAGATATCAGAGTGGCTGAAGTCCTCCATGAGGACAAGGGTCTGTGAGCGTGAGGTTTTTCCTATTTATCTATAGAGTGCTTCATCCACAGAGTCCTCTTGATCAGGTGGTCTGTAACAGATCTCCACAGTAATGTCTCCCAAAGCAATAAAAAAAGTAATCCTTATACCAAGACTTTGAAATTCTGAATCTTCTAAACAAGTTCAATATGTTAAATTTTAAGAAGGCACTTTCATATTATCCTTTTACTTGTAACAGTGATGCTTTTATCCCTAGTAACTTAGTAGTGAGCTAAACTGTCTCAACAGATATCCCAATGCAAGGCATCTTATGAGGAAGAAATAATTCATTCTTGGGGTATGTTTTCAATAAATGTAAACTGAATGTGTTCATTCCTTGAGGAGATACAGAGCAGCATTATTTCACAGAGCTCTGGGACTTTGGCACGCACAATGCCCTCCGCTTCAGTCTGTCTCAGAATGACTTCATACATCAAATATCAAGCCACAAAAAGGCAGAGGACACAGAAATGAATGCTAAGAGGATTTAGATCAAATGAGGATGTTTGTATCTTTTCATTACTATATAATACTGGTAAATCACACTTAGTATTTTAATTTCCTAAATGCTTTTAGAGTGTAGCCTCTAAGTCCAGTTTTGGTATCATCATGGAATTTAATTAGAATAAAAAGCTGTACTTTGAAAGGTCTTATCCAGTGTTGCTGGTTCACTTTAATAGAGAGACTTCAAAGAGCTGTCAATATTTACCCTAGAGTACTTGATTTAAAAGGCTACTAAAAAAGCAAATGTTCTATTTTAAACTCCTTATATTAAAAAGTTTCTGAAGGTAATGAAAGAAACAATTTAAGGAAATGTTGTAAACCCAAAGATATTGATCAAGCACATTACTTTATTGACCAATCTTAAGATGATAAAATTCATCAACACTCATCACTACTTTTCATTTTTTTCTGTATTTGAATTTCCACAGTCATTACACTGCAAAGTGTAGTGATATTCACTACCTTTACCTACAGCAGTGTTTTTCAAGCTTTAAAATGGTAAACGATAGAGTACATTTAAAATCCATAAAACCTATAGGTTTCTTATGAGAACTGAAGTGCTCAGTTATTTAAAAAGCTTAAAGAAACATGTTAAAAAAGCCTTGTCTTAGCATTTTAAATCCAGCTGTTTCAGGAGGCTCATCAGTCATTTTCTATTTGACCTCTCTAGTCTCTTTTCCTGAGATTTTTCCTCTTCATCTCTGACCTCCTACCCTCCGAGGGCATCAATCTGGACTCCTGTTCAGTTTAAATGCTATGACTCCTCTCAATGGTTGTTGGGTTTGTTCTCATCTTTCCAGATAAGTTTTAACCACCAGGGTGACTTGCATTGGCCAGTATCAGTTTATCTACAATCCATTTTTCTACATTTAGACCATTGTTTGCTTCATACAAACACAACTGTGCATCTGTATGTGATCTTTTAAATTACCACAACTGGTAAAATGCTCAATCCCTGGTATAACTGGAATGAGCAAAAATTACTGCAAGTAGCCTAATGCTTTGAAACATTGTTAAGAATGAATTTCACTGAGTGATGGCCAAGGGTATTTTTCCAAGTAGCTCATTGAATAGGCTTTGATCATGAGGAAGAAGTTAACCAAGTCAAGGTTGTTGTTTTGCAGCCATTCTTTCCTCTCTGGGTAGGTCTGGAATACAGACCTCCTAAAACCATGAGGCAGAAAAGGAGGAAATGAATGCTCAGCTCAGCAAGGTCTTCCCACAAGAACATTCACTGAAATAAAAAAATAACTATAAAGCTAAATATAGTTCAGGTATGGCTTTAACACATTTTAATTTCTTCCCTGGAATTAACACATCTCACTTGCTTTGGGAAAGCTAATGGAACTCAAAGGACAATAGTAGCAGGACAAAGGATTTTCAGACTCCGATTATAATTTGGAAGCTATTATGGAGCTACACCAATGCAGAGGGAGCCCAAGGAGAAGCATACCTGGTGCTTACGGCAGAATTTCAAGAGCAGAGATGACATCACCTCTTCATGTACTCCCTAGCCCAGAAATGAATAAAAGCCTTCAACAGCATCCTGTGTAGTTATTAATTTTCATAGACTGAATGGAAAGTAGTTATTCCTGCTGAGTAATAGATCGATTAAAAAAGGTGGATCTATAAGTTTTTCCATCTGCTTATCTCTGGGATTTCTTAAGTGAATTTGATAATTTCTGGCTATATCTGAAGCAACAGAAGAATGAGTAAGTTGAGATAACTGACACATGGGCTACTTCTGATTATTATAGAAGTTCTTTTTCTTCCCCCCCCCCCATAGGCATAGCTCTCATTCTTCTTATTTCTCAATTTTTATTGAGAAATATTCTTTACTATGACAGTAAGAATTCTTTTATTGGCACTAGTGTTATTTTTATTGCAGCAGGTGGTTAACAGCTGGTAAAGAACAGACATTACCCAGTTTAGAAGAGTATTTTTACTGACTTGCTAGACACTTGCTTAAAACAGAAATAGCTCTATATGAACAAAGAAGAAAAATTGCTTCGGGATGTGAGCAATTATTAACACAGCATAAGTGGTGGTGTGAAAGTTAAAAATAATTTCCCTCTGCTCTTGTACACATGCAGTCATGAAGTTCTTCATTTTTTACCTTCTATGTATTCCCTTTCTCTGCTCTCAGAAATACTGAAATCAATACCATATTAATAGCAAAAGAAAGTACTACATCCTCATCTCTTGCTTGCAGCATTCAGGCTCCCAAATACCTCAAATTTAGTTGAAGTATATAAATCCAGTTGTCATGGTTTAAACCCAGCTGGTAACTCAGAACTACATATCTGCTCATTCACCCCCCGCCCCCTTCCCCCCTCTGGGGAGGATGGGGAGGAGAATCAAAAGAATGTAAACCCCCCAGGTTGAGATAAGTATAATTTAATAACTAAAGTACAACATAATACAACACTACTGGCAGAGCATGAGAGACTGAAAAGTCCTTGATAAGGGTAAGCACTATTTAGCAACAATTAAAACACTGGTGTATTACCAGCACTGTTCTCAGACTGAAGCCAAAACACAGCACTGCACCAGCTACTAGGAAGGAGAAAAAAAAACCGTTACAGCTGAAACCAAGACACCAGTAGATCACTTGTAAAATATATGCATAAAAGTGAAGAAGTTAATATCCCAGCAAGGTATCTGTGAATTTATGAAACTGGCATCTCAAGAGTAACATATTTGCTCTGTGGCAACAGCGAGCATTACACACCACACTCCTTGCTAAAAATTAACTGGGACAGATGGCCAACATCAGCTGTTTTACAGACCCTTCTGACACAAAGATAAACGCAACATGTTAATTGTGTTCAGTTTACTCACTGTGGGTCATGGCACAGAGCCCTTCACCTTGGGCTACTGGAGCAGTTCCAAGCCAGACCACCTGCAAAGTGAGCTGGTCATGTGGAGCTCACACTGGACTGCAACTCACGCTTCCAGGGACCAGCCCATGTGCAAACATATAACATGAACTTTCTCTGGTTTAGTTTGAGCCCATCCCCCCTTGTCCTATCACTACAGTCCCTAATGAAGAGTCCCTCCCCAGCATCACTGTAGGCCCCCTTCAGATACTGTAAGGCTGCTCTGAGGTCCCCACTCAGCCTTCTCCAGGCTGAACAGCCCCAACTTTCTTATCCTGTCTTCATACAGGAGGTGCTTAAACCCCCTTATAATCCTCGTGACCCTCCTCTGGACTTGCTCTAACAGCTCCATGTCCTTATGTTGTGGACACCAGAACTGCACATAGTACTCCAAGTGGGGTCTCACAAGAGCAAAGCAGAGGGGCAGGATCACCTCCTGCTGGTCATGCTCCTTTTGACTCAGTCCAGTATATAGCTGGCTTTCAGGGCAGCAAGTACATGCTGTTGTTAAGTTTCTCATTGGCCAACACCCCCAAGTCCTTCTCCACAGGGCTACTCTGAATCACTTCTCTGCCCAACCTGTAGCTGTGCCTGGGATTGCCCCAACAATGCACTTTGCATTGTTGAACATCCTGCAGCCCAATGACCATAGCTATTACAGTGCCTCTAATAGAACGGAAAGTTTAGGGCACGCCTCACTGAGCCTCCTCAAGGGTTTGTTGCTGGGATACGTGAGGTCAGCCATCCCAGTTCCTGCCCCAGAGGAGAAGTATGCCAATAACACTCCAGCTTCACCCATTTCAGCTCGTCTGTTAAGGCAGAAGCCCAGGCCAGTCCAGACCACCCCACCCCGTGAGGGACCGCCTGCAGGCGCCTCCTACCTACTCTCTAAAGCTTCTGTGCCACCTCCAAGCAACTCTCTCGGAACTCTGGCGAAAGGCTGGCATCGCTTTACTTCCCCAGGCAAGGCGCTATAAGCGGATATTTCCACGGATGAGAATGACTACCTCATCTGCGAGCGCTGTTCTACTCAGCCACCCACCGACTTTTATAGCAAATATGACCGAGTCGAAGACTATGCGGCTCCACCCCCACATTCCATTCTTTACATGGTGTCAGAGACGAGCGCAGCTAGCCACATACCCCTTTTTCCACCAGGAGCGCAAAACAGTCTCAGGCTTGCGCTCGTGATATCAGCAGGATGGGAGTAAAGGCGACACATCGATATGGCATCGCGCGCCAGAAGCGGGCGCACTATTTCCTACCATCACAGACCAAACCTTTCTTGAGCTATTCTATTTATGTTTGTGGTACCGATTTGCATAAGGTTCCGCCCCCCATCGTGAGAAAGGTGGCTGGTACCGCCTCCTGCTGCCATGTAAGAGAAGAGGGGGCGGAAGCCAGGAGTGTCTTTCTGGTGTCGTTTATAGGGTACAGTCACTTCCGCTATCCACTTAGAAGTGGCGTGATCATGGCGGAGCGTGGTCATCTCCCTCCCCCCACCAAGCACCTCTGCTGCAGACCCGGCTATGGCTCAGGGTGCAGGCCAGGCCAGCGGGTGACCAGCACTGGACTCAGTAGTGGGGCGCTCTGCGCCGGATCCTCCTCTGCAGCTGCGGCTGCTGCAGCTGCTGCTGCTGCGGCTGCTGCAGCAGCCGCAGCAGCAGCAGCCGCTGCCGCCCTGGGGCTGCTGCCTCTCGGCAAAACCCAGAGTCCCGACTCCCTACTGGACATTGCGGCTCGCAAGGTGGCGGAGAAGTGGCCCTTCCAGCGGGTGGAGGAGCGCTTCGAGAGGATTCCAGAGCCGGTACAGCGTAGGATCGTTTACTGGTCCTTCCCCCGCAGCGAGAGGGAGATCTGCATGTACTCCTCCTTCAACACCGGTGCCGAGGACCCCGCCATCACCCCCGGAGTGGCTACCGCCGGCACTGCGCCCGGTGGGGGCGCGGACAACGCCGCCGCCGAGAACCGCCTGCCCTTCCGTAGGGGTATCGCTCTGCTAGACGGCGGCTTTGTCGATAACGTCTTGCAAGTCGGTGAGTCACCGGCCAGGACCGCACTGCGGAGCTGTGCCGCTGCTACATGGGCAGGGCGCCACTGGCCTCCTCAGCCGCGAATCTCTCCCTGCACGTTACCCGTCTGCCCTCCGGGGAGCTGCCTCCCTTCCTGCGCCCCCCCCGGTGGTCGGAGCTCCCCCGCGTACTTCCTGCCCCCCCCCCCCCCCCGGGACTGCCCCACTCTCTCGGCCCGGCCTGCACGAACCGTAATTCAGGACGGACAACTTCCTCTGCCAGTATGCTCCTGGCATCCAGAATACGAAATAAACCTTTCGCCCCGCTCCGTGACACATCCACGGCTCCCGCCGCTAGCACCCGGCCTAGTATCCGACAAGTGGGCTGAATACGCTGCTCTCCGCCTGTCCCTTGAGCTCCACCGATGTGTCGTGCCACTTCCCTGTAATCCCGTTTGGCTCTGCTCCTTCACACCACCCACTCTTGATAATTCAAATCATAATAGTGAGGAGATACCACCACACTTCCCCCAGGACCGCCGGTGGGGGAAGAGGGTGGGATGTACCGTGGTTCAAAATAAAAGAGGGTGCGGGAGCCCAGGAACGGTTGCGCAGTGATAGGGGAAATGAAAGAGAGCGAGCCACAACAAAGGCATTTCTGGGGCAGCGGCGATGAGCCAGAGGGTGGGGGTGTGGTCCGCCTAAACCCCGCCACCGCGGGGTGGATGGCGCGCGCTTCGGAAAGACCCCGGATTAGGGGTGACGGCATAGAGGGGCCCACGAGTTATTTTGGGACGAGCCCTTGCATGACAACGGCGAGGTAAGGAGGGAGGTGCTGTTTTCCCTCCTCCTGGAACAATCCTTTCCTCCTTCCACCACTACCCCCACGATCGGCGGCCGCCTCCGCTCTTCACCCGTTGTGAGCTGGTGCTCCCGGTTAGCTCTTCCCTGCTTCCGTTTAAAGGGTATTGGAGGTTGGTGTTCTCTTCCGCGATGGAAGGTCTGCTTGGGGGGGGGAGAGGGGGCTGCATTCCCCGGCCGCAAGTACCTCCCAGTCTGGGCGGTGATGGCCCCGTGGGAAAGGGTTTACAGCTTCTGCAGAAAACTTCCGCTGAGTGGTGTGTTTGCACTTCATGCGGTCTGGGTGTACAGAGAGTATCGCCGTGCGGCGGTGCCTCGAAGACGAGGCGGAGGCAACGACGACGATGACTGGACACTTTGTTCTCATTTTCATGTTTGTGTTCTTTTCGGTTTTTCGTTTCCCCCTCCCCCGAAAGGGGAAACCAGACAAAAGAGACTGAAAATATCGCTTCTTATAGTAGGCTCGACAGTCGTTGGGCAGGGCAGTACGCCCCTATGCTGGGCCGGACCGTCCCCTGGTGGTGACTCAGCTGTGGCTGCTGCTCGTCTTTTGTTCTCAGCGCCGTATGGGGCTGAGCCGGCCTGAGTTGTGGAGGCTGCGGCACCGGTACTGCTGCTCGAGGTCTGAGTGTGTTAGGTTCCTCCTCGGCCTTGCCTGCAGCGGCTTTCACTTAGCAGGCAGTCTGCAAACGTGCCTTCTATTTTCCGAGGGGAGTCTCTGTTGTTCTTCGGTTAAGCGCCCTTCTGCCTCGGTGGAATTCAGCTTTAGCCTTTAAGGGTTTAAGAAAGGTGGTGTTTTGTTTATTGTTGTTGTTCTTTTTTTAATTAGCTTTCTTATAAATTTAATCCTTTGTTTTTCTCCCCTTTTCTCTCGTTCTGAGGTGCATCTGTGCTTCCTCAGGACTGGCAAAACCAGAAGTAGGGTGCTTTTAATTTTGTTGACAATGCTGAGGTTTTTTTTTTTTTTTATTCCCTTTTGCTTGCACTTGATTCTGTTTGTAAGTAATGAAGAATGACAGGATTGTACATACTGAGGGTCTCTTGGCTGATTAAATTTAAGCTAAGAATTCACTGTGGAAAGGAAATGAAGGGGTGGTAAAGAAAAGATATGTAGTTTTTTTATAGGATGCCCAGTGTGAGCTTGGCTTTGCTTGCTTTCAGCCTCAATGAGTAGTTGTGAAAGAAAAACTGAAGGTATCTTTTTGCATAGCTTCAAAAGGAATAATGTTGGCAAGGGTTAATGTGAAGAAAGAAAATATGTATAAATACAACTTAAGTGTTGACTGCTGCTTTTGGACCCCTTAACTGCATTCCAACCAAATGCTGTGCCTACTGCTGAAAATACATGTTTGTTTTTAACCTTATGCTAGCCTTCTTTGAAAGGCTATGCAAAAATAGTAGTGGAAGCTGGTGATATGAAACATGTCAATTGTATTAAGGGCATTGTCCAAATGCCTCTTAAACACTCACAAGCATGTCCTGTTGCATTTGACATTGCTGCTGCTTCACCTTGAATACTGTGTGTAGTTCTGGGCCCCAACAATTTAGGAAGGACGTTCAGGTCCTTGAATGCTTTTGGAGGAGAGCAACAAAGCTGGTGAAAAGGTTGGAAGGCATGTCCTCTGAGGAGTGGCTAAGGACTCAGGGTTTGTCTGGTTAGAAGAAAAGGAGGCTGAGGGGTGACCTCATTGCTCTTTACAGCTTCCTGAAGTGGAGAAGTGGAGATGGAAGTGCTGATCTCCCTGGTATCCAGTGACAGGACACTTGGGAATAGTTCAAAGCTGTGCCAGGGGAGGTTTAGACTGGATATTAGGAAGCATTTCTTTGCAAAGGGGATGGCCAAACACTGGAATAGGCTTCCTAGAGTGGTGGTTGATGCCCCAAGCCTGTCAGCATTTAAAGGTATTTGGACAATGCCCTTAATAATATGCTTTAACTTTTAGTCAGTCAGGCAGTTGGACTAGATTTATTTTTTTATTATTTTTTTTAAATGAGAAAATGTATTGTAAATCACTTCCCATCAGTTTTTAAAGCAAGGAATCTTATTTTCTGTAGAAACTTTATATTGGGTTGACCTAACAAGTTTTCATAATTTCTTTTGTGTTAGTTTTCCTGTTTCTCACGTTTAATTTTTCCTCTAATTTTAGGGCTCTCCTTGCTCCTAAGTAAGCTCTGAAAATTGACTTATTTCAGTTTAGGAAAGCAATTCTATCTTTGCATATGATCAGATGTTTTGGTATGTAGCAATTCCTGAATTTGAGCCAGTTGTCATGCTAGCAATTGATGCCTGTGCACATGCACTCTCTCTGCACTCCAACTTTTAGATGAACAGTTAACTAAAACAAAATCTGTTTGTGATGGTAGGCTGAAAGAATTTAAAAGTTAGCATTGGACAATTATTTTTTTCCTTAAAAACAATTGATTGTAGTTTTTTCCATATTATTTGCCTTTTTTTTTAATGAACCTATTAAAATTGAACCCTTACATAAGACAGGTAAAGTTATAATAAAAACAAACAAACAAACCCAACACAGAATGTTGCCACTAAAAATAACCACAAAAACCCCCCACCAAACCCCCCACCCTACTTAGGGTGAGAAGTATATGATTATGAACAGCAGGTTTTACTGATGAAGGATAAAGTATATTATGTGGTGCACTATAAGATGTGTAAGCATGGGTTCAATTTTAATGTCCTCTGCTCTCCGGGTAATCTAGTTGTTATGTTAAGGCAAATCCTGAAGTTTTGTAGTAGTTTGAGTGCAAAGTTATGGTAGTATAAGAACGCAGCTGACACCCTTTAACTCACTTTCTCTTTAGATTTTCTTTGTTGATTAGGTAGGAGAATTTAATTCATTGTTTTTTAAAAAAAACCCAAACCAACAAAACAAACCCCCAGAACTCCCACACTATTTTAATTGACAAATGCTATTCAAATTTATGAATATGCTGTGACAGGAACTAATTTTAAATTTTAAAAAGCTTTCATGTTCAGCAAGGGTACAGATTTAATGCAAATTTTAATTGCCTGGAATGCAATCAACCTGACAGCATATGAATGCTTGAGTACTGTCCAATAACTGCATTTGATCTGGGACATCTGTTTCTTTGGATTTTTTACTTTTTTTCTTTTGGCTTACTATTTAAAACTATATAAAATGCCTTTCTTTTATGGATATGTATGCAGCTCTTGACATGGCTTCATAATCTTCTGTGACCTGTATCATTAGAGATGTTGGCTGGTACTGTACACTGGTTTGCATTTTCCTTCTAGCTATGTGCCAGTTATGATTTGTGATGCCCTTGAGATGCATTACCATGCTGTTCTCTGATGAGGTAGCAATATGCATCCAGTCTTTGTTGCTTTGCCCCCACTATTGAAGACCAGGATGTCTAGAAAACTTGTGATGTAAGTCACTACTTTTTTTTTTTTTCTGACTTAATTCTGCAAATGTGTAAGCAGACCAGAGGAGCATAGACTTCTAATAGTAACTGAAGTGTAGAGAATTCCTTTGTGGTAAAGTCAGAACTCATAAAAGGCCAGCTGTAAGAGATGATCAATTGTACAAAATAATTTCATGAATTGTGTCAAATTAGGAAGACCGAAGTGTCTCCTAATGTGTGCTTTTTACCAATGCTTTATTAAACCCTCCTGAAAATTTAAAAATAAAGTGTGAAAGATAGGAATCTTTAGCTGCATTTAAAGTATATTTTAAGATAATTGTGATGTGCACCATCATGGCTTGACTTCGCGAACGAAGATTTAGGAAGGGCTTTGCCCACGCTTACTACAGGCGCGCTGATGGCTAAGAAGGCCGATGTAGGATAGGCAAATCCGGCTACAAAAAGCACAGCAGAAGGTCTCCTTGGGTGGTACAGGTGGGGCGCGATTCTTTCTGCGTTGTCTTTTCTCCTCGAGGCTAGTTCTTTGTAAACTCTCAAAGGAGTCAACAGCATTATGTATGGTGTGCCTCCAAGTCTCCTGATTGGAAGCCAAGGCGGACCACTGATGATAGTCGATTTGGCCAAGGCTAAGATATTGTTTCAGGGAGTCCTTATATCTCTTCTTTGGGGCACCTCTCTTGCGGCTACCGGTGGCAAGTTCACCGTAAAACACGAACTTGGGGAGGCGGTGATCCTTCATCCTAGAGACGTGTCCTGCCCAGCGCAGCTGCAATTTCAGCAGTGTGGCCTCGATGCTGGTGACCCCTGCTTGTTCGAGGACTGTGACATTACACACAGTCAGTCCATTGGATGTTTAGAATTGCGCAGAGGCAGCGCTGATGAAAGCGTTCGAGGAGCCGCAGGTGACGACGGTAGATGACCCATGATTCAGACCCATATAAAAGAGTAGACAATACAATGGCTCTATAAACACTGATCTTTGTACTTTTCTTCAGGTGTTTGTTACACCAGACTCTTTTAGAGTTTTCTGAAGGCTCTGTATGCCTTTGCTATTCTGTTGTCTATCTCTTTGTCGATCGTGGCATCTGAGGAAATGATGCTTCTCAGATAGCTGAACTTCTGAACTGTCTTAAGCTCTGACTCACCGATGGTAATATGGGGATGGCGATGATCTTCTCGCGGTGCAGGTTGGTAGAGGACTACTGTTTTCTTCAAGCTGACTTCCAGCCCAAAAACCTCGGCTGCCTCCGCAAAGCAAGATGTTAAACGCTGCAGAGCTGCTTCTGTATGAGCAACAAGGGCGGCATCATCAGCAAAAGCAATTCACGGACAAGATGATTTAGGGTCTTAGTGTGGGCCTTCAGTCGCCTTAGATTGAATAGGCTACCATCGGTATGATATTGAATATAAATGCCGTTTTGTTCGTCAAGGTCTGCTGTAGCCCTTTCATGTGCACCATTGCATGCATAAAAAAAGGGAGCTTAATCTTTTTATTTTTTTTTTTTTTAATTCTAACAATCTACTCTATGTTGCAAGTGACTGCATTTGATAGTCTTGAAATATCTGGATTTTTTTGCTTTGGAAATGCATGGGAAATGGCTGCGAAGGTCTGACTTTATTGGAAGGGTGCAGTAAAACTTGTCGGTAAGCTTAAATTCACACTAGTAGAACTAGCTGATTAGATAAATCAGAAGCTCATTTACTGAATTAATGTGCTGAAAATTCAGGTGATTTAGCTTTTGTCCTGCTTTATTTAACAATCTGCCTGTTAATCTTTCACTGTTAATTGGTGTCAGACCTTTAATATGTGATTATTGGAAAAATGGGGGGAAGGGCATTATAGGCAGAAATTTCACAGTAGTGGGGATTAATTTTTTTTTTTTTTGGGGGGGGGGGAGAGAGGTTATTGACATTCAAATGATCATTTTAAAGGCTGAGACAATCAAATGTTGCATAGTTGTCTGACTTGTGAGAAGTGAGACCTTTGTATGCATGCCAAGTTTAGCTCCTGACTTGTTACTGACAGCTCCGTAATAATGCAGATGCAGTATAGAAATTGTGCAGCTGACTACAATATTTAATTTATACTGACTACTGAAATAAAGAGCACTTGAACACTGAGGCACTTAATATTGGATAAACTTTTATAAAGTGTGTGACAAATTTTCAGTCTGTAATACAGTAGAGGATCAAGTTTGCATGTATTATTTTTGTATTTGTAAACTTGTGTTAAAAGCAGGGGTTTGGGTTGAAGGCTTTTGTCATCACTGTCTCTCTTGGGTTTGTTTTGTTATTCTTAAAGTTTGACTCTTTCCTATTTTATAGTAGTGGATTTTTAAGAGTTCAGGAACAGGGAAAAATCAGTGTTCTAAACTAATTGTTTAATATATTACCTCAAGGAAAGAAACCTGGAATGCATTTATTCTGAAATACTGTTCTGAACAATGACAACTGGCTGTATTGCTGCTGTTGTACATGTAAAATGAGTCTTGGTTCCCCCACTGATTTAGGTTGTAAACTGAAACCTTGCAAACTGACTACAGTTGGTGTCTTGGGGATAAAATATCAGTCCATTATATTCTGTATCTGGATCTAGTGTAGCTATATTACATAGAAGCATGAAACTTCAATTTTGCTTCTTCTAGAGCAGAAGGGTGAGTATGACATAAAACTCTTTTTTAAATCTTTGTTATTGCAAACCATGATATGTGAGAGAGTTGTCATGCAGTTTTCTTGATCAAATCTAAATGCATGAATTTATAGAGATGAATTCAGCTAAATGTGCCGCTAATGTATGAATGGTAGGCAGTGACTAGGGATGGGATTTGATGTAACAGCTACCTTATCAGTCTGATAGGATAAGGAAGTTGAGAATGACTTGGTTGGTGCTACCTTTAGAAGCAGCATGCTACTTAATTTTACTGACAGTTTTTGGTGATCAAATTTTACATTGTCATGTATCTTGTCAATAATTTACAGGCTTAATATAGGGATGCTGGGGATGGACTCTTCATTAGGGACTGTAGTGGTAGGACAAGGGGTAATGGGTTAAAACTTAAACAGGGGAAGTTTAGACTGGATATAAGGAGGAAATTCTTTCCTGTTAGGGTAGTGAGGCACTGGAATAGGTTGTCCAGGGAGGTTGTGAATGCTTCATCCCTGGCAGTGTTCAAGGCTAGGTTGGACGAGGCCTTGGGTAATATGGTTTAGAGAGAGGTGTCCCTGCCCATGGCAGGGGGGTTGGAACTTGATGATCTTAAGGTCCTTTCCAACCCTAACTATTCTATGATTCTATGATAAATGTAAGTGGCTGTTTGCCTGGAGTGAACAAGTGCTTAGTAGTAAACAGGAATTTGGCTCATTGAATAAGATGTACTTAAAGAGAAGAAAGGCAGTAAAATACTGAGTTGCCCTTTATAGATGAGAGTCTAGGAAGAGAAGTGGGCAAGTGGCATGCCTGAGATGAGGTAAAGGTCAAAGAACTTAATAAATCCCTGAAGAGGTGTGTTTAAGGAGGATGTAGTCTGAATGACTGCTCCCTCTACATGGTCTACTTTCAACGGGTGAAGGAATGGAAGCTGATTGATTCTTTCCTACAAAATGAAACAAAGCTTTGAAAATGGAAAGCAGGTTAGCAAACAGTAACTTAGCTGTCCTGTAGCTTTTGAAATTGTAAAATATGTTTAAAGTTATGAAGTGGGTGTACTTTTGTTCATTTTAAACCTTACATCCCAATTTAAATTTTATAAATAAGATGTTTCCTTTGTGTGTCAGATATACTCTGTTTTGGCAGAAAGTGTTGACTTATCTATTTGAAGGGTGTTTGTCACACTGTACTTTATCAAAAGTAGAAGCTATTTCTGTTAGGTCATGGCGGGAGCTCCATCATTACAGTGGTAAAACAATAATTGGCTTCATTTTGTACAACTGTTTGAAACAGATTTATTCATAGAGTTAAATATGCATTAGTAAGATCATAGAATATAACTGAATTTTACTATAAGGTATAGCCAAATTCTGTCTTAATTCTCAACAGGCAATAAATGGCTTAACTTTAAAGCATTCTGTATTACAAAAAGAGCAGGTATGTGTGGCTTTGGGTTTTGAGTTTTTTTGGTTTTTTTTTTTTTTTTTTTTTTTGGTGGGCTTTTTTAAATTTTATTTTGTTTTGTTTTTTCCCCTCCATAGTAGTGAATGTGGTACCCAGATGTCCTGGGTTCAGCAGTAGCAGTCATTTTTCTCCTTCTTGGTAGCTGGTGCAGTGCTATGTTTTGACTTTCGGGCTGGGAACAGAGCTGATAAGAATGATGTTTTGGTTTGGCCAAGGACTTTGTGAGCCTCATGCTCTGCCAGGGAGGAGGAGAAGCTGGGAGGAAGCAGAGACAGGCCACCTGACCCAAACTGACCAAAGAGGTATTCCATACCACAGCACGTCATGCTCAGGATGTAACTGGGAGTTACCTGGAAGGGCTAGGTGGACTGCAGGGTTGGGTGAGGTATCTGTCTGTGCTTGGTCAGGCTGGGGGGGTGAGTTATCGGTCACCTGGTGATGAGGTGTTGTATTCTCTTCCCTTGTTATTTCCTTTATCATTAGCATTATTGGTGGTAGCAGTAGTGATTTGTGTTATACCTTAGTTACTAAATTGTTCTTATCTCAACCCGTGGGAGTTGCATTCTTTTCGGTTCTCCTCTCTGTCCCTCCAGGAGTAGGGGGAGGGCAAGAAGGGGGGGGGAGTGAGTGCACAAGCTGTCTGGCTGGGGTTAAACCAGGACACCAGACTTGAGAAGAACTGAGAGGGTTTTTTTTTTTTTTTGTTTTTGTTTTGTTTGGTTTTTTTTGTTGTTTAGGCTATATGTTGTGCTGACCTGTGAATAAGGATGGTGTGTGTGCAATGTTTGACTAGATAAATTGAAAGAGGTGTGAATTATGCACTTTCACTTCAGTGAATCCTGTCTGTTATTATATCCTTCATCCCTTCCCTCCTTGAGTAATGAAATGAAGTTAAGAAGTAGAGATGAAGTGTTGAGAAGCATCTACTGAAAGGAAGAAGCAGAGGAGGATGACTGTGCAACAAAACACTGAGCTGTGATTTTTTTAATTTTTTTTTTTTTTTTTTTAAGTAAAAGGAGAGCCACAAAAGCCAGTAAAGGTCAAAAGTTCTGGGAGAGTAATCATTAATTTATAGAGGCACTGAAAGGTAAAGGAATATAAATCCTGAAGCATTTCCAGAAAAAAATTCCACTGGGGACCTTGGTGAGACTCATCCTAATATGATGCACTGCATCATATTAGGGTGATATGACCCCCCTTGTCTCAGCTTGAACC